GCGGGAAGCCTGCTTCTCCCTCTCCCACTCCCCCTGCTTGTGTTCCCTCTCTCATGTTCTCTCTCTCTGTCAAAAAAAAAAAAGAGAGAGAAAGAGAGAGACAAAGAGAAGGATTTAAAATGAAAGAAATTGCTTTGTTCATCTAACAATGATTTGCAGAACACCTACATCATTCTGGGAACTGTGCTCAGTAAAGGCTTGTTGCAACCTTCAAAATAAATCATTAGAATTTCTCTATTTTTCATTTTTATTTTTACTTTTTAAAAAAGATTTTAGTTATTTATTTGAGAGGGGGGGGGAGCATGAGTAGGGGGAGGGGCAGAGGGACAGGCAGAAGCAGACTCCCCGCTGAGTAGGGAGCCTTACATGGGGCTCCATCCCAGGCCCCTGAGACCATGACCTGAGCTGAAATCAGAAGGTTATCCGACTGAGCCACCCAGGTGCCCCATATTTTTCATTTTTAGAGAGGAGGAGGGATGCCTGGGTGGCTCAGAGGGTAGTTAAGCGTCTGCCTTCGGCTCAGGTCATGATCCCAGGATCCTGGGATCGAGTCCCGCATCGGGCTCCCTGCTCGGCGGGGGGTCTGCTTCTCCTTCTCCCTCTGCCTTCCGCTCTCCCTGCTTGTGCTCTCTTTTTCTCTCCTCGCTCTCTGACAAATAAATAAATAAAATCTTTTAAAAAAGCAAAGAGGAGGAAATTAAATAGGGCTTTGATGATATTTAGTATGCTGGTTGAATTGGCACCTTCCCAGAGGTCACATGGGACACACAGTAGGCACTGTATTCTGAGGGAAAAGAGCTTCAAAAATGCAGGGGGGATAGAAAGCCGACTGGTGATTGCCAACGTATGGGGAGAGGGCAGAGTGAGGAGTGACTGTTTAATGGTCAATTCTGTGTTATTTGAATTTTATCTCAATCAAAAGGAAAATCTGTAAAAATTCAGTGGCATCCTCACTTGCTGACTTGCCATCTGTGCATTGTAAGCATTTGCAGTTTGGATGCTTGGTTAGGTGGTGGTGTGGATTAGATTATCTTAAACAGCAGAATGTGTATAAAACTACCTGATGGGATGGGCAAAATCATGAAAATGGCTTCCACCGTAGAGGGAAGATCTTACGGAAAAGCAATTTTAAAAGGTGTGAAACTAAACGATGAATTCTGAATTTTTCTTTTACTTTCAGTAACAGTTCCAAATTTGCTGACCTTTACTAAGATGACAGGTAATCATAATGTTGGTTGTTTAGCAGAAAATTTTTATAAAAGCACATAATCTATCTCCCTGAGATTTAAAAATGGATATTTTTTTAAATGAGTGAGAGATTAAGTATTTTTTTGAAAGAAATTATGCCATGGAGAGAGCAGAAATGTTTGGAAGTTTCCCCCATTGTGTTACTTTTGTCGCAGAAAACAATGTATATGGGTGACGCTTATAAAAGCTTTCTTACATGCACGCTTGCCAAAAAACAGAGATGAGATTTTTCTATCTTGTTTACATATCTTCCAAATGAAGAGATCTCTCAAACGCTGCATCTTCTGGTTGGTTTACTAGAACAATTTGACATTAAAAGATAGAAATTCACTAGCCAGTTTTCAACAAAAACCTTTGCATGACTGACATAGGGCTCGAAAAATAAAACGATCACTGTAATTAGTCAAGGCAACTAATGATCTACTTCTTCTTTTCTTTTCTTTTTTAAAAAAGATTTATTTATTTATTTATTTGAGAGAGAGAGAGAGAGAGCATGAGCAGGGGGAGGGGAGGGAGAGCAAGAGAGACAATCCTCAAGCAGGCTCCCCGCCGAACACAGAGCTGGACACGAGGCTCGATCCCACGACCCTGAGATCACGACCTGAGCCGAAACGAAGAGTTGGACACTTAACAGCCTGAGCCACCCAGGTGCCCCTACTTCTTCCTTTTAAATGTATATATCCTTGCCAGTGTCTTTTCCAGCCATGTCAAACCATTAAAGCCAAATTTTGTCAAAACAAACCAAACTTAGCACCAGACCAAAGTGGTAAACCGAGATTTTCAAAAAGTACAAAGTATATTCAATTGCATTGCTCTCACTTATAAAGTAATTTTAGAAAGATCAAAGAGGGTTTTTGTTCCTGTTTAATAATAAAAATGAATAATAATGCAACATAATAAAAAGTTAATAATAATAAAAATTATTTCTTACCAAGTGGGATTTATTCCAGGTATGCAAGGCTGAGTCAGTATTCAAAAATCAATTAATGTAGTCCATCACATCAACAAGTTAAAGCAGAAAAAACATATAATCATATCAGCAGATGCAGAAAAAGCATTTGATAAAATCCAACACCCATTTATAATTAAAAAGTCTCACTAAACAAGGAATAGAAACTTGATAAAGAACATCTACAAAAAACCTCCTACAGCTAACATCATACTTTAATGGTGAGAAAATTAAAGCATTCTCACTCAGCTCAGGAATAAGGCAAGGATGTCTCCTCTCATCGCTCCTTTTCAATATTGTACTAGAAGTCCTAAATAACGCAGTAACAGAAGAAAAGGAAGTAAAAAGTATGCAGATTGGCATGGAAGAAATAAAACAATCTTGGTTTGCAGATGGCGTGATTACCTAGGTAGAAAATCTGAGAGAACTCACCAAAAAAACACACAAAAAACAACCCTCCTAGACCTAATAAGTGATTTCAGCAAGGTTGATGGATATAAGGTTAATAGTTAATATACAGGGATGCCTGGGTGGCTCAGTCGTTAAGCGTCTGCCTTCGGCTCAGGTCATGATCCCAGGGTCCTGGGATCGAGCCCCGCATTGGGCTCCCTGCTGGGCAGGAAGCCTGCTTCTCCCTCTCCCACTCCCCCTGCTTGTGTTCCCTCTCTTGCTGTGTCTCTCTCTCTCTGTCAATTAAATAAATAAATAAAATCTATAAAAAAAATAGTTAATATACAGAAGTCAATCACTGTCCTAAATGCCAGCAATGAACAAGTGGAATTTGATATTAAAAATACAATACGTCCTGCAGTGTTGGTGGGATTGCAAACTGATGGATGCAGCCACGGTGGGAAACAGTACGGAGGTTCCTCAAAAAGTTAAAAATACAATTGCCCTATGATCCAGTAATAATATTACGGGATATTTACTCCAACAATACAAAAACGTGAATTCAAGGGGCTACATGCACCCTTATGTTCCTAGCAGCATTATTTACAATAGCCAAATTATGGAAACAGCCCAAGTGTCCATTGATAGATGAATGGATAAAGAAGAGGTGGCATATATATAATGGAATATTATTCCACCATAAAAAAGAATGAAATCTTGCCGTTTGCAACAACATGGGTGGAGCTAGAGAGTATGATGCTAAGCGAGATCAGTCAGTCAGAGAAAGACAAATACCATACGATTTCACTCCTATCTGGAATTTAAGAGACAAGACAAATAAGCAGAGGGAAAAAAGAGAGAGAGAATGAGACAAACCAAGAAACAGACTTCTTAACTATAGAGAACAAACTGATGGTTATTGGAGGGGAGGCAGGTGGGGGCATGGGTGACATACGTGATAGGAATTAAAGAATACACTTATCCTGATGAGCACTGAGTAATGTATAGAATTAGTGAATCGCTATATTGTACACCCGAGACTAGTATAACACTGTATGTTAACTATAACAGAATGAAAACTAAAAATGTAATAAAAAGTGACGCCTGGTGGCTCAGTCAGTTAAGCTTCTGCCTTCGGGTCAGGTCATGATCCCCGGGTCCTGGGATCCAGTCCCACTTTGGGCTCCTTGCTCAGTGGGGAGGCTGCTTCTCCCTCTGCCTGCCACTCCCCTTGCTTGTGTTCTCTCTCTCTGACAAATAAATAATCTAAAATAATAATAATAAATTAAGTAAATAAGATTCTTTCGGTGTAAAAAAAAAACACCAAACACAATACACTTATATTAGCACCTCCAAAAACAAAACACTTAAATATAAATCTAACAATATATGTACTAGATCTATATGAGGAAAACTATAAAATTCTGATGAAAGAAATCAAGAACTAAATTAATTGAAGAGATGTTTTATGTTCATGGATAGAAGCATTCAATCAGTTCTTCTCAACTTGATCTATAGATTCAACACAATCCCAATCAAAATCGCAGGAAGTTATTTTGTGAATATCGACAAAACGATTCTAAAGTTTATATGGAGAAGCAAAAACTCAGAATAGCCAAACAATACTGAAGGAGAAAGACAAATTTGGAGAGCTGACACTCTCCTGTTCCAAGACTTACTAAAAAGCTACATACAGTAAGACTTCACAACAAGACTGTGTGGTATTGGTGGAAGAATAGATAATAGACCAAAGGAACAGACTAGAGAACCCAGAAATAAACTCACACAAATATAGTCCACTGATCTTTGACAAATGAACATGGGCAATATTATGGAGGAGATTTCGTCTTTTCAACAAATGGTACTGGAACAACTGAATATCCACACACACACACACACACAAAATGAACCTAGACACAGACATTATACCCTTTACAAAAACTAACTCAAAATGAACCATAGATCTAGGTATAAAATGCAAAGCTAAAAAACTCCTAGAAGATAACATAGGAGAAAATCCAGATGACCTTGAGTTTGGTGAGGATTACAATCCATGAAAGAAATCATTGATAAGCTAGATTTCATTAAAAGTAAAACCTTTCACTCTGTGAAAGACACTGTCAAGAGAATAAGACAAGCCACAGGCTAGGGGAAAATAACTGTAAAAGACATATCTGATAGAGAACTGTTATCCAAAATATACAAAGAACTCCTAAAATTTAACAATGAGAAAACAAGCAACCTGATCTAAAAAATGGGCAAAATATTATTTTGTGTTGTTTTGTTTTATAGTAGCATTGGTGAAAATGGGTAAAGGATACATGATATTTCTCTTTAGTATTTCTTATAAATGCATGTGAAAGTATTCTTACCTTAAAATTTAAAAAAATGTTTAATTTTAAAAATTCTAAGTAAGTAAATAAATGGGCAAAATATCTGACTAGACACCTCATCAAAGATGTACAGATGGCCCACAAGGCATATGAAAAGACTGTCAACATCACATGTCATTAGGAAGTTGCAAATTAAAACAACACTGAGATACCACTACACACCTAGTAGAATGGGAAAAATCCAAAACACTGATAATACCATAAGGCCAAATGCTGGTGAGGATGTGGAGCAACAGGAACTCTCATTCGTTGCTGGTGGGAATGAAAAATGGTACAGCCACTTTGCAAGACAGTTTGGCAGTTTCTTTCTTTTTTTTTTTTTTAAAGATTTTATTTATTTATTTGACAGAGAGAGAGAGAGAGATAGCAAGGGCAGGAACACAAGCAAGGGGAGTGGGAGAGGGAGAAGCAGGCTTCCTGAGGAGCAGGGAGCCCGATGCGGGGCTCGATCCCAGGATCCCGGGATCATGACCTGAGCCGAAGGCAGACGCTTAATGACTGAGCCACCCAGGCGCCCCCAGTTTGGCAGTTTCTTACAAAACTAAACAATTGTGCCCCTTGGTATTTACCCCAAAGTGTTGAAAACTCATGGCCACACAAAACGCCATATACAGATGTTTATAGCAGCCTTATTCATAATTGCCAAAACTTGTAAGCACCCAAGATGTTCTTCAATAAGTTAATGGATAAATAAATTGTGGTCCATCCAGACAACGGAATATTATCCAGCACTAAAAAGAAATGAGCAATCGAGCTATAGAAAGATATGGAGGAAACTTAAATGCGTATTTCTAAATGAAAGAAGCCAATCTGAAAAGGCTACATATGGTATACTTTCAACTATATGACATTCTGGAAAAGGCAAAATGAGAGAGAGAGCGTAAAAAGATCAGTGGTTGCCAAGGGTTAGGGGAGAAGGAAGGATGAACAGATGGGGTACAGAGGTTGCTTTAGGGCAGTGGAACTAGTCTCTATGGTACTATAATGGTGGATACATGTCATTTCACACTTGCCTGAACCTGTAGAATGTACCCAAGAGTGAACCCTAATGTAAACCATGAACTTAGGGTGATGAAGTGTCAATGTAGGGTCACTGATTGTAACAAATGTACCACTCCGGTGTGGGATGTTGATAGTGGGGGAGGTTGTAGGGGATATATGGGAATTCTCTGACTGTTCTGCTCAATGTTGTTGTGAGCCTGAAGTTTCTCTAAAAAATAAAGTCTATTTAAAAAATAGAATGGCCAAAGACAGTCTAGCGCAGTGATCTCTCAATTTTTTAATGTGCAACCCATCAGTAGAATATTTAGAGTACACATCCTCAATAAATGTATATTTATCTTCTACAAATTTTATAAGTAGTGAAAATAATTATACTACCACATTGTATAAGCTATAACAAATAAACTGACCACAGAAATTTTTAAAAATTATTTTTATAATATTGCCTATTTTATGTTTATATCACCCTTTCAGAGTTTCTTAGTGTATGCTTCATAGTACATGTAATGAGGTAGTCATGAATATAATTTATAAATGAACAAATACGCATACAAATTCTGGG